CGCGCACCACATGCAGAGGGTAGAAGGTTCCCTCGTGCGGCATGTATGTGAGCGGACTGCGATCCCAGCCTGCGGGCCGCGCGTCTGAGTGCATCCAAGCCACCCAGTTCTTGAACCAGAGGTTGTTCTGGATAAAGGCATCGTCCTGTCGAGGCAGCCGCGCCATCAATGCCCGCCATTTTGGGCTGGGGAAAGGGAGTCCCTCATGCGTGTCCTTCTTGGACTTCCATACATCGACCGTCTGCCCTAGCGAGAAGGAGAGGCTGTGTTGCAGCACATGCTCTCGGCAGGGGCGGAAGAACTGCTGGTTTGATGCCACCAGTACAAACTTGTCATCGTCGTCGGGGTGGATTTCGGAATGCAGAAGCAGTTCCAGATTGCTCAGGTGAACGCCGAGGATGCCAGGGCTATTCTTGGCTACCCTTCTGCTCTCAGGATTCAGCAGCAAATGCGCTCGCACACTCAGCGTAACCATTGTCGCATTCGCAGAGCGACCATCAGACACATGCACCATAATCGTGTGCGGTTGCAAGTAGCGATCAGCCAACTGCGTGACCCACGTGGCGTGCAGCGCTGGCCCACGTAGTGCGAGGGAGGCGTGAATTGCTGGGACGCGTGAGGGTACTCGGACCATCGGGGGCGGACGAGATCCTCCCTCCTCCGTCAACAAGCGGGCCGGTCGAGCAGCTCGCGCACACAAGAAGTTGCTTTTGATAAAACCTCGCTGCAATGAGTCCTTGGACATTGGTTGGGGTATGCACGTATGTGCACGTGCAGCGCAAGACAGTGTACAGCCCCCGAGTTCTGTACCCTGAGGGGGGGGGGGGAGTGAGAGGTAGGGGGGGGGGGGGAGATACGCCCTATCAAACGGTGCCAAATCAGACGACTCCCCACCTTGCCGTGTACACTACCAGTCATAAACAGGCCTATTCATAAACAGGTCCTCGGTAACGTGAAGGGTCGGTGCATGTCGTGATCCCCTGGAACACCCCTAGGAACACCCACGTACCACTCTCCGGGCATCTCAGTCGCCTTGTTCGGCTGCGGCCTCACCACCACCATGATGCATGATCGGGAGGCGGCCAGGGCTCAAGGTGGGGTACTATACCAACTAAAGTGATGGCTGGTGGTACTCTTCTGCAACCATAGTCCTTCCTGTGACATGGCAGGCCACTCTCAAGCCCTACAAGCACCAGATCACCTCACATAGAAGATGGTCGGCCGCCATTCGGGCCTCCCGGCCTGCTGCGGCCGACGCGGCCGGTCGAGGCCGGGCTCGGCCCGGCCCGCGACGGCTGGCCGCCGACGAGCGCGCTCGCGCTGCTCGTCAAGATGGCGGCGGTGGCGATTGCGGCGACAAAAGTTCAGGCGTACAGCGCTCAGGCGCCTGTCGTCTTTCGTCTTTTGTCGCATTTCGCACACGCGCGCGCCGCGCGACCCGCGTCGCTCCGCGAGGGCATGAGCCTTCCGCGATTCGATCCCGCAGCCAAAAGCTGCTCGCTCGAACCGCGGCCGACTCTGCCATCGCGGCCGCAGCTGTCGAGCTCTCCAGAAAACTGGTGCCTCATATGCTGCCTCCCTGCGGATGCTACCGGCGAGCCTGGCGATCCGCTGTACTTCACAAGGAAGTGCTGACTCGATTTCTACTCGAATTCTTCTACCCCCACGACTCGGAACACGAATGTGACAGGACCATCGGGTCCTTCAGCCACCAAAGCGGGATCACCCGAGAGCAGCTGAGCCTGCCTCTGGCCTCGCCTCCCTCTCCTCCAGGCATTCGTGGCATCCTATGGGTCGTCCAGACACCAGAGTATCGACCTCTGGCGAGTCAGCCAGTCACTTGATGACACCATGTGAAGTACAG